AAGGATCTTCAAAAGGGATTGTTCACATTGAAATGATAAAAAGAAAGTTTGGTTATTATTAAGGAAATTATCTCCTGTTGAACATGAAAAATGTGTAAATTATATTTTGCTGAAAAAACCAGGAGAAATAAATTTTGATGAGACTGTTCTAATACTATCAATAATTTTTGGTGATAGGAGTTCATTATTCAATACACGATAGCAATGTCTTAGTAAAGTCCGGCAATGAAGATTTTGTCACTTATGCAGGAGTCATGAATCGAGAATGTGAAAAGTTCAAGTTAAATGAATTAACTCCAGATCTATTTAAATGCCTGATATTTGTACAGGGCTTAACTTCTAATAAAGATGCAGAGATAAGATCCAGGGTACTTGCTAAATTAGAAATGGATCCCAAGTTAACTCTCAAGAAAATAGCAGAAGAGTGTATTGTGAATTTGAAACTTGATACCACAACGATTGAGGAAAAAGACAATTCACAGGTACATAGTGTCCGACTATCTAAGAGAAAAAACTCCAGACGTTTTTCAACTCCTAACTGAACAGTAAAAAAAAAAGACTATAACACCCCACCTCCATACCTAATACTTGCCACAGTTGTGGAGGTAAGCATTTTAAAAGTGATTATTTCTTCAAGAACAAAACATGCTATGAATGTGGGAGATTAAGACACAAAAGTACATGTTGCAGATACAAAAAAATGAAGAAAAAATAAAATGTATGTGAACATGATAAATACATGGAGTAATGATAAGAAGCCTAAAAGGGAAATTAACATGACATCTCAAAAGAGGAAATTTGTTTTAGTGCAAATTAATGGTGTAAAAATAAAATTGAAACTAGATACAGGATCTGATACCTCCATCATAAATAAACAGACATTGAGAAAAATAGGTAATCTCAGTTTATTGACTTCTGATAAAGTTGCACATGGAGTCTCAGGAAAGCAATTGAACTTTTTGGTTGAATTCAGCTGTAACGTTTCTTTTGTTGGAAAACCCAAAAAAGTGGTGGTGTTTATATTAAAGAATACTGCTAATTTGTTTGGAACAAACTGGATTGCATTGTTTGATCTTTAGGACCCTCCAATTAACTCTTTTTGCAACAAGATAAGTATTGTTACCCACCACCCCACCCTTTTGTGGCCTTAGATCCAATTAATAATGAATTGGACAGACTAGAAAAATTAGGTGTGATATCAAAAATAGACTATTCTGAATGGTCATCACCAACAGTGTATGTTAAAAAAAGGAATGATAAAATCTGCATATGTGCTGATTTTTCAACAGGGTTAAATCAAAGTTTAAAACAATATAACTACCCGTTACAAAGTCTAGGTGAAATTTTTGCCAAATTTTCTAAATTGGACCTGTCAGACACTTACCTACAAGTACTAGTGGATGAAGACTGCTCAAAATTATTAACAATTAACACTTCATAGAGGGTAGCACCAAGCATATTCCAACAGATAATGGATACCATGCTTGCCAGTTTGGATTGTGCTCAAGCATATTTGGATGACATACTTATTAAAAGTAAGACCCAAAAACAATATGCAATATGAAAATGTAAAGAAAATATTTGAGAGAATCAAAGAATATGGTTTTAAGATTAGTGAAGGAAAATGTGAATTTTTTTATCTCCAGACTTAAATATCTAGGCCTTTCAAGGGCGATCATGATAAAGGACACGGCTGTGATACTAAGCACATATGAGGACGGAACAACTAAACCAATAGCTCATGCTTCAAGATCATTAATTGTAGCTGAAAGAATCTACAGCCAGATAGAAAAGGAAGCATTGGCCATCATATTTGCCATGGAAAAGTTTCACAAATTTATACATGGTTGAGAATTCATACTACAGACAGACCATTGTCCATATGTGGATCAAAAAAAGGGTGTTCCTGCACAAACATCAAATAGACTGCAGCACTGCAGGGAATTATCTTATTGAATTATAATTATAAAATGAAGTTTCTACCATTCAAAAAATTAAGTCATGCAGACGGATTGTCTAGACTGATGCCAACATTCTGCGAACCACTTGAAGACACAGTAATTGCAGCGATAAGGGCTGAAAATGAAATTAATAACATATTATACAATACTGTAAAAAAACTGCCCATAACATTAGAGGAAATAAAAATTAAGGTGAAAAAAGACTACTTTATAATGAAAATGAAGGAGAAATTAAGATCGAAAGGAAAAATATTATTGGAAATAATGCATTTTCATTATGTAATGATGTACTTATATACATAGAGAGAGTGGTGATACCAGCATTGTTGCAAAGACAAAAGAATTTCACAGCAGACATCCAGGAATTTCTAGAATTAAACCCTTAATGAGGTGTTATACTTACTGGCCAAAAATGGATAAGGATATCGAAAATTTAGTGAAATCATGCAGAGGTTGTGCTTTGGCAAGCGAAGTCACTGCCTATCAAAATTCAACCTTGGCCATGGTGCAGAATACATATAGACTTCACAGGACTGTTAAACAGAGCATACTATCTAGTGGTAGTTAATAGTTACACTAAATGGCCAGAATTATTGAAATGTAGAAGACCGACTACCTTGGTAATGATAAATTTCCTACACAAGATTTTTGCAAGGTTCAGTGTTCCTGACTTTATCACTTCAGATAACGGGACTCAATTCACATCTAGTGAATTTAAGTTTTCTTTTGCAAATCATTAGAAATAGAACATATTACAACTCCCTCTTATCACCCAAGATCAAATGGACAAGTGGAACAGTTGATATGTTTAAAAGGGCACTAAAAAAAGTCAGAGGGAGAGGAGTTAGATGAAGTAATGATTCAGCAATTTCTGAGTATTTACAGAATAACACCAAACCCAAACACCATGTCTGGAATGTCATCTGCAGAGTTGATGTTCGCCAGGAAGATTAAGTCTGTTTTCAATAAGTTATTACCAGAATGCAAGGCGAGAACATCAAGAAATAATAATGCAAGTAGATACTTCAAACCTGAAGATAAGGTATTTTTTAGGATGTATCACCGTGGAAAGGAATTCTGGGAAGATGGCATTATAAAAAAAACAATCATCAAAATAATATACATGGTACAAGGACAAAGGTGGGAACATAAGTAACACTGTAATCAGTTAAAATGTAGATTCACTGATTTAAAAAATCCCCAAAAAGAAGTACCAATAGAAATCCTGTATGACATGTTTAACATACCCATGCCATCAGAAATTGTTGAACCAAGAGTTTATAACAAAAGAAAAAGAATGCCAACAGAATATCTAACTATTGAACTGAAGCTGAAGAAGTATAGACTGCAAGGGAAGTCATCTCAAAGGGGAGGTGTTATATAAGAATAAAGTGTCGCTGCCAACACGAGTTTGAACACAGATCATCAGAGAGCAAACATAGGCAATTCCATTTTGAATCAGTAGAGCATGTGATGCTAAAGGAAATGTATATATGGGAATTAGTGTGGTATCTAAGTGATCACTATACAGATTACTGTTTGGATCACTATTCGGTGGTTACTTTTACTCTAACATTTTTTTGGTTAAGTATAAGCTTGTATTTTTTAACAGCTGCCATTAATAATTTAAGTTTTCTGTCATGTTGTGCTCAATTTTACTGCAAATAGTTACGTTATCGATGTAAGCATAGGTGCCTTGCAGGTTCTCTTTTGATATTATCTAGTCTACCACTTGTTGAAAGTTAGCTACCCCATTAATTATGCTAAATGGTATTCTGCAAAACTGATAGAGGCTGCCACTCTGATTATAATTTTCAACATTTTGTTGTGCTAAATTTAGTACTCTTGCCTGGTCATAGGCCCACTGTAATGTTTTTGAGTATTCTTTGTCAAATAGCAGTGGAACATAGCCTGTTTATGAAGGCATCTTGTATTAATTCGGCTCGATATTGTTCTGCTGATATCAAAGAAAATGAACAGTCCTAGAAACCATTTTTCTTTTTTATGTAGATCCTGTCGAGTATTGTTAATGCCTCTTTGTAGGAATATGCATCTGTGAAATAATTGTAAACTAATAATGAGACATTTGGTGAGATAGTGCAGCTTATTAGAATTTTGGTCACTGAGTTAAATTGAGTACATAACTCAAGAAGTTTATGAAAGTTATTCTCCAGTGATGATACTCCAGTTCAGTGTCAGATGCATTGGGGTCAATAGTAAGTTTCTCTGGACAGAGTAAATTAGCCATTACAAAATGGTAAACAACAGACAGTTAAATTGAAGTAGAATTGCTCAAGACAATAAGGATTAGCTTAGTAATAAGCTTTAGCTAACTCTGCATAGCAGCAGAGTTCTCCTGACTATATGTGGTCAGGACAGATCCATTAATGGTGGGGAAATGGATCATACCACAGGTACTACTTGATTTTTCTGTTTTAGTACACCCTAGGTTAATTCTAGAACTTCAGCTTGTTGTTTGATGATAATTTTATTTCTCCAAATTTGTTTTTTTATTTCATTTTCACTTATTCAAAACATTTTAATATTCTTTAATATTTCTGTTTTTTCTAAGTATTTATTACTATAAAATGCTTTTACCACTGATTTGCATATATATATATATATATATATATATATATAAGTACATTCAATTGAGTTAAAATTACAAGATAGAAGATTTTTGGCAGAAGAAGTTCCTTCTAGCATCACTAAAAGTTTTTCCATTTTGTCATTCACTTACTCCACTATTTGTCAGGGATATTTTTACACCACACACACTGATATTTTCTTTTGAATTAAGACATATTAAATGGGAAATAAAAAATCAAATTATCACTCACAAATCAAATTTGATTTGGTCAAATAATTCTTGTCTTTTTAAAGATCTTTTCTTGCCATTTTTGTAAACTTAACCATATTGAAAAAAGTTGCTATCTTCATATTATTGTCAGTGATTAGTTCATGTCTTCTTTTTTTGCTAATTATTATAATACTCTATATGGTTTGACCAAGATATACTATTTCATTTTTCTTTCCCAGAGGAATATCCTTAGACAAGGAAGTTGTCAAAAATTGGTATATGGAGAGAGCCTGTGAGATTGAGAGAGAATCTCGTATGGTTGACAATGCTGTAGAATTAATCAAGCTGAGTATTGATCGAGGAGTGGAGGTAAAAAAAAAAAAATGTTCTATTTTACAACAGTAAATTTGATTGGGTGCTAAAATCTTCTGGGCTCAACCAAGAAAGGATCTAAAAAAAATTTGATGTTTGGCCATTTGGTCACTTAAGAATTAGGTTTGACAGAACGTTTTAGCACCCCTCTTCATATATTCTAATTTTTACTGAGATAAAATATTTTTTAAGTATTTATTTGAGATTTACTTAACACTAAATGAGTAAATAAAGGAAATTTAAAATTTATTAAAAAATGCGTTCTATGTGTTAGAGTAATGACTTTAAAAATTTAAAGAACTTAGAAAATATTTAATTAGATTAATAATAGCATTTAGTTCAACTTAGGCTCTTAAGAAATTTATTATTATCATTATTGATTGAAATATGTCATATTTATATCATTGTTTAATATTAAGTGTCAGAATGGAATCAATTTTAGAATAAAGAAATCAATTTATAAATTATTATAAATTGCAATCTGTTACATATTGTCATTGCAATCAGTATCTGCCTACACCTCTCGCTATTTCCAGTAAAGAACCCATTAATCTTTCTGTCATGACATTTCATTAATAGCTACTTATCAAATCTGAATGGTAGTTAAAAAAGATGTATGCCATCAGTGAAATCTGATATTTGAAGTTGACTTCATCCATTTTATTTTTTTTTAATTGGTATCACCTCATACAAGCCAGTAAAGCCACTAAAACACAAGGTGTTACATGATGTGGAAGCATTAGGAACAGAAACATTAATAGTGAGCAGAAAGAAAAAAAGAGTAATCAGGAGGGCAGTAGATAGCAATTGATATTGCTTTTAAATTTTTGCAAATTAAAGTTGGCTGAAAAGTATGGAGCCAGAAAGGAGTTCCACAAGTGAGAAGTGCAAGAAAAATAGTTAGCATAAAGTTTATGGCTACATCTAACTAGCTGAACTGTCAGTTGATGAGATCTTGATGCCAGTTTAATACTGTGTTTAAATTCATGAAGGCTAGGTACCATAAGAGCTCATCTGAACAATTACCATGTAAGTATTTATAGAAAAAGCACAGAGAGGCAACCTTACGGCAGTGGGTAAGTGACTGATGCCAAGCTGCCAAATCAGGACCAATAATATTTCAGATTCTTCTTTGGATCTTATCAACGGTCTTAAGATAAATAGCAGGGGCACTGGACCATATTCTAACAATATTCTAAGCATGGATAAATGGTAGACTTATAGATATGTAAGATAGATTCTAAGGAGAAAAAATTGTCTCACCTGACAGAGTGAACTGACTTTCTTAGAATCTAACTTAGTAGTGGATTCAATATAGTCTTTCCACTTAGCTGAGAATGTTAGCATGAGAAGGTGCAACAAGTCATTTTCCTGGAGGTTAGAATCATCCATGCTGATGGAAAGCAGAGAGGTATCTCTCAGATGATTAATGGAAAGAAGTTTAGTTTTGGAGGTATTAAAATGAACAAGCCATCAGATCATTTTTCTAATAAGTGATATATTTAGCACAATCCAGTTACTATTATTTATAATCACAGTTATTTATACATATTGCTGAACATTTGTATTGCACTCTGATAACAGTACCATAATAAAGACAAAGTTTGTTAAAATTTATAAGATTCTACTAAGGAAAAAAAATCAGATATAAATTTAATAATAGAGGAGTTGAAAATAAATAGAAAAATGAAAATGTTTCCTTTTAGATTTTCATATATAATGAATCTTATATTAATTTCATCTTAAAATTGTATGATCTAATTCAGAATCAGTATTATTTTTTTCAAGTATATAGGTATTTAATTTCTAATACTGCATCCATATGCTGATGTTATTGACTTTTTATAATAATGTGATAAAGCAAATATAACTACTTTTTTAAATGATATTTATATTTGTACACACTTGAGTTGAATAGTTTATCATTTTAAGTTTGTAACTTTAATTTATAAAAGCAATTTGTGCCATTTTGCAGGGTCTTGAAGATTTGTTAGATGATTTAATAACAATGGAATGTCTTGTTTATGACTGCCATGTTGGATCAGAGCTGACCTTTAAACAACTTCAAGAAAAAAACAACATTGAAAAAGTTCATCTTATAATGAATAAGGTCTGATGTTTTTTTTCTCATTTTCTCATTCATAAATTTTGACTAATTTGATCAAATTTATAAAAAAAAATTCAGAAATTGTTTCATGGAATTCTAGTATTATTTTTTTTACAATTTTTGTTAGGTGTCCTTAGTTTAATTGTATATTTGTAAAATCTGTCAAAGGTTAAAATATCTAAGTACACATTAACTAATTATATTCAGCAAATAATTTTTGAGGTTTAAATGATGTAAAATATTTTTAAAGTTTAGTGTGAAAAAACATGTGAATTTGAAATCATGTCATAATTATATTGGGATAAAAATAAAATGCTGTAAAAATGCATAAACAACTGGAATTGATTATTTGAAAGAGACTCACTCAGATGTTGTATGTAAAATTAATAGACTAGCTCTTTTTTGGGTCACTGTTCTATAGTAAGTCTCATCTAAACTTTAGAGAACGTAAGAGAATTACAAGTATTTTATCTGACTGTCAAGTAGAATAAGTATTAAAATATTTTTACATGATGCCAAATATAGAAATGGGGAATAATTGACAGTGTGACTACTGTCACATTTCTTTTAAATTATTATACATACATAAATTTGTAATTATCAAAATCTTTGTCCTCTAGATATAGCTTTGTTTCTTAAACAGTTCATCTGAAATTTTGTACAGTCTTCTGATTCTCAACAGATTTTATTATTAGCAACTGAGCTTAAGAGCTATAAACTGAATTTTAAAATATACCATTTTTAGAAATCATAAATGGTAATGATCCATTTAATTAGTTTGCATGTATATGGATGTTTCTTTCCAAATAATGAATAAGGATTGATATATTGTAAGAAAAATATTATTTATCTGTGCACCCACTCAAATACAATATAGCTTAAAGAAAAGTTTAGAGGGGGTATCCTAGATGTACATGGGATTGGTAACCATAAATCTTAAAAGTAGATACTACACTTTGATATGAGTACAAAGTAGTAAAAAAAAATTTTCACAATATTACAATATTATTATTTTATTATGTAAAACTTGTAGTTTTACTGACAAATAATAATATTGTAATATATCAAAAGTGAAGTGGGTTAGGTTAGGAACTAGGGTGTGTATAGCTTGATACCTGTTGTTGTTATCATAAAATACTATTTTGTAGCATATATATAATATTAGAATTCACACATTTTGTTAAACATGAGTAAAATCAGTGAAATATAGAAATACATCAAAGTAACTTATCTCTCCAATATTGTTTCATTCTATATATATATATATATATATATATATATATATATATATATATATATGTGTGTGTGTATGTATATAAAATAATGAAGCAATATATATATATATATATATATATAGCATAATGAGAAGCCACGTATACTTTCTTAATATGTATATATAGAAAAAGTTTCAAATTAAAAATTATAATGTTTTATTTTATGAAAGTATTTATTTATTTATATATATACATATACACACACACACACACACACACACACACACACATATATATATATATATATATATATATATATATATATATATATATATATATATATATATATATATATATATTAATATAATTAATTGGTAATGTACAGCAATTGCAAAAGTTTTCTCTCAAACAATTTTCATGTCATATTATGTTTTTTACAGTCATCAATTGAAAAATATGTGAAGAATATTCACCACTGGTTGATTCCATTCCTGAAAAGATGTGAAAGAAATGACCCTCATGCTTACATGACATTGCTAAAAAATTATATGACAAATATGGCCAAAGATGACCTTACACTTCCTCTGAAGATATTTGAAGCGTCAAAATCAAATGTAAGATGTGTTAATATTTTGTAACATATCCAGTATCATCATTGTTTTTATTATGTTGAAATAGAAGTTTACAATATTTTTTGATAAAATCTATTCTTCATATAAATTTATATCATCATTATTTAGTGATCAGTGAACTTGTTGGAACCACTAATAGGTAAGGAAAGTTGCATGGACAGAAACAAGTTTGACATGTTGAAGCATTTCCTATCACATTCGCAAAGACAAGCAAAATTTTCTCCTAACATTCTTGCCCAGAAAAAAGTCTTTTTTTTTTCCAATGCATCATTTAAATGACACAGTATTGTTGTGCATACAGGTTCCAGCATTTCATGAAAAATTCCTTTTGAATGCCACTAAAAAGTCATGCCATGACATCAAAGTGCTGTCCAGGATCTAGCTATAATTTTTAACATTTTTGATCTTATAATAAATTCATTTTCATTAACAGTTATTCTCTTATCAAAAATGATATTTTCTGTGTTAGTCAGTAAGCGAAAAAATGTATTTAAATTTTTTATTTATGTCCCTTTCTCTAACTTCATGTCAAGGTGATACCTATGACAGAGAGTCATATTACTGGGGATCAGAAATGTAGTGGCCTAAATTACTACTAAATAACAATTTCTAAGAAGATTGTTAGCAATGAACTTGTTAGTAATATCCAGCGAGAACTTACAACTAAATCCAAATGTACAAAAGAAAGAACAAAACTAACCTCCTCTACTAACTCAATGTTCAAAAGAAATCAATTTATTCACCAAAAATTAGGGACATTGTACTTGATATTGGAGAAATAATGAGTCAATTTGTTTATATTAATTTAATAAATCCACAGAAAATATAGTTATATAATGCAATCAGAAAGTAAGTTCAACATTTTACCAAATCTTGTATCAACAAAGTCAGAAAATACTTGTAGAAAAACATAATGAAGTAAGCAGTAATTTTGTAAATTTTATTCTGTGATTTTTTTACATCTACAAGTGTCTACCTATGTTTTACAGAAGATGAATAAAATACTGTTTTCATTATGATATTAAATATTACTAGTACACACAGTTTTAATTATAATTAAAATCAATTTGCATTAACAAAAATACAAAACTGTCAAGATAATTTGATGAGTTAATCAATTCATTATGTGCAAAATGGTGAAAAATAAAAAAATTAAAATTACCTGGTAAATGTTTCTATGAATGGATAAACATTTTATCTTATGAAATTTTAAGATAATTTCAAAACTTTTAGTGTTGGTCCTTGAGTTGCTTTAAGATACCAAACAAACAATTTTTTAAAAAAATTTTGGTATTATAATTCCATGATTTCTTTTTATATTGATGAAACTAACAAAGATTTTTGTCAAAGTATTCCTGCAAGTTTTCAATTTAACAACATGAAACAGAAAAACGCCCAATGATCTGTGGTATCCACTAGAACTTTTAAATTACCACAATCTATTTTTTTTCAAAAGATTTCCATATTCTTGAAAATAAAGAGTTGTATTATTAAATATTTCTTCTTCTGTGGGATAATCTTATAACATAGCCTGACATTTTACTATCTTTCAAGTTCTGGTAAGTTATCAGATGTTTGGCATGTTATTTCATCCAGCAAATAACCACATTTTGAGCAATTCTGGCCTGGATCAAAATTGTATTCTTTAACATGAAAGTTCAAATGAAGAAGTAATTTATTTTTTTCAATATCAAACTTTTCAATAACATTTTGTACTGTTATAAAATATGCACTCTCAGAAGCTTGTCTTAATTTTCCAAATTCATTTTCTAAATTGTCTGTGGTAAATTCACCAAGCATAACAAAATTAAATTTCCTGTTTAGGGAATATCTACAAGCACCAATTAAAAAATTACATGTATGTTCAATGGCTAAACCAATATCCCTTGTAAAAGATTTAACCCTTTTTCCTTGTTTTACTTCCATTATTTTTGCCATTTTCCCAAAATTAGAAAGAAATGTTAGATGTTCATCTAAATCTGATTTCACTTTTTTCATTGGATCATTTTTCTTCATATTACTATGTACTTTTTTGACACTAACTGCAACACTCTTTTAATTAAATGAACTGTTTCTGCAGTGTCAACTCCATATAATAATGGGAGAATCTTAAGTGCAGCTGTAGTTTGATTACAAAACTTTTAAATAATGAGAATTTTTTTGTCTCTTAACAGATTTTGAATAAACTGCTAATTCAGTTACTTTTCATAGTTTAACAAATTTAATTTTTTTTCATACCCATTACAATTTCTTATTTTACTGTCATTTTTTGCCTTCAAAGTGAAACATTAATTCAGAAGAAGCTTCAGTAATCCAATTATTTCAAATATTTTTTAAATAAATGGGCATAATCAAAAAGCAAATGAAAGCTATGTAAGAAACAGTTTCAAATGAAAGGCCTGTAAGAAACAGTTTCAAATTTTTGAAAATGATTGATTTGTCCTGTTATTATGACATATAATTGCAATTACTTTACCATTTCATTACTTGATTGCATTAACAATATATAAAGCCTTTGCATCTAAAAAAAAAAATTGGATCAGTTTAAGCAAAAATTTTGTTGCAGCATTCAAACATTTTACCATGATGCCCAATGTTATTTTTGCTAAACCATCAGAATTTTCAACAAAACCAAATAAATTTCCTCCATAATACTGTAGAGCAACTTTTACATAAATTTCATCAAATAAAGGAAAACTTATTATTTTTTAATTTTCAGAGAGTTTATTAAATACATCACTATGAAAATTATAGTCATCTAATTTTGAGACTTTTGATGCCAGCATTCTCATATTTGGTAACTTAAAATTCTGAAGTTTGTTATATAATGACCGATATGTAGCAAAGTATTCAAATGCTTTGATAAGAATAACAAACCATATGCCTACTTCAGTGTTTTAAGTAATAAATGTAAATTAATCCAAGTGTAAAAGGTAAATATTTCTTTTTAAAAAGATTAAATTGCAACAAACTTTTGTTATTGCAAGTTATGTTTAAAATCATTACCCACTCAACTCCAGTTGGATAGGAATTGCTTTCTTGATCTATTTTTAGTATCCCCTTGCTTCATGTGGACCAAATTTTCTGAGTTTCTGAGTTTTACAAGCTTAGAAATGATCATAGGTGCAATATATAGCTGACTAAACTTTTTAAGATTGTTCTAAGACTCCCCTAACATTGCACAGAAGATAAAGCTGTGAAATTTTGCATCAATCTAATATTTTCTCATTATTTCATAATTTTCTTTAGGTTTATGGATGGATTAACCCCCCACACACACATACACACACTAGCTTACTTTGTTGGTTTGGTTTGTTTATAGCATATCACCCTCAATGTGTTATTTAATGGCAACAAGACTCTTACAACAGATTCGTATGAATAGAAAATATATTCTAGGAAACAGTTTGTAGATCTAGTCTCATTGATATACTTTTGTAAAGAGGGTTGTTGAGAGTCTGCTTTCATTGATGTAGTCTTTTCAGATAAATGGTTTGTAGAGAAATTGATTTTGATATTCTTATTTGGTGTATGGTTTTTGGTAGAGTCCTCTTTTGAGAAATGATATTATATCATCCACTTTTACTTTCTTGAACATATACATATTCTTTATGTTGTAATATTTTTTTCTTGAGAGAGCAAGATCTGAGCATTCAGTTAATATATGTTTAATAGTATATGCTGTTTTACATGCTTGGCTACTAGTTGATCGTTTTTGTTTAGTAACTACAAATGGGTTATTTTCATATGGCCAATGCATACACAGGCCAGTACCACTTTTTCCTTATCAGATTTTCTGGGAGCTGACTTTCATTCTCCTAGTTTGAGCTGGATTGCAAAGAGTTTATTGTGTGGGTTATTGTCTCAGTACCATTGCCATTCCTTTTAAATGTATTAATTATTAACCTCCTTAAAATCTGTGTATGGGATTTTGGTCCTTGCATCTACATTCACGTCTAAAGCCAAATTGGTTGATAGATCTACTTCATTATTACCTTTAACTTCTATGTGGCTAGGAATCCAGCATAATTTGATGTCTTTATGCTTGTTAATAGTGCTCATTTTGCATAATATTTTCATAAGTGGATTGCTGGATTTTATTTTTCTTCAAAGCCAATACAACGGATAGTGAGTTAAAAAAAATTAGAAAATTTTTTGTTTCCACTCTGAGATAATGTTAAGAGCTAGCTCGATTGAATAAACCCCTGCAATGAAAATAGAGATTCCCTTTGGGAGGTGCCATTTTTTGGTAATATTTTGGTTCACTGCTGCACAACCTATCTTGTCTGTACATTTTGACCCATCTGTATAGATGGGTGTATGGTTAGGGAAGTTTGCCAATATGTCCTGAAACTTATCCTGCAATGTGAGTGTGTGCATTTTTTGTTTGAGGAGATTATCTAATTCTAGCAGAACTTTAACTGGCTGCAGTCATTTCTTGTATATTTGAGTGTGTGTACCTCACTCTTCAGCAATGGATTTCATCCTGAGTCCGTAGGGTTGTATAGCATTATCTTTTTACAATAATTTGGTTCAAATGTACTGTTGTGACAAAGTGGCCTGGTGAAAAAAGCTTAAATGTGAGAAAAAAAATATAAGCTGGAAGAGTTAAAGGATAGAATGATAGATATACCAAAAATATTTTTTTTATTCTGAAAGAAAAAAGTCTAATTTTTTTTCTTCCTGGAAAAGCCAATATAAAAAAGTGAATGATTATATTTCTTTTTATGATGGCCATTTGGATAATTTCCTTATGGCCAGAGTTGAAAAGTATATGGAATTATTTGGGATTTCTTAAGATAAAAACCCAAAGATAACTTAAGGACTTGATTAATGACCAGTCAGGGAGAGATGTCAATAGATGATGGGATTTTGGATAGGCCCTGGGAAATATACTTCAATTATTTTAAGGACAGTGCGGACTGAAAATAGTTAAAGAAAAATGAATTATGAATTATGCATCTGCCCAGTGCCAAAAGAGG